GGACCCTGGTTGTCTTGGTTCTGGACATGGCTGCCACATTCTACACTGTGTTCTGATTTTGACTCCCTCCCTGCCTTAGTCCATTGTTCTTAGGTTGATTGGTGCAAGTCTAGACACAAATCGGCTGGCACTGGCTCTGAGAAAGCAGAGCACCATCAAGCCACCATCTCACCCCATCCATGGCCGTCATCTTTTCCTCCATGCCTCCATCAGATACAGTCTCCATGCTGTCAGAGCTGAGGCCAGTGATACTATATGGACCTCCAGACTAGAGCAGGCCAGTAAAAACAGTCTCTTGTTACATTAAATCCTGGGTGCATTAGGTTTCCTGCTCGAACCATGGCTAGTCCATTTCTTCTCTGCTCTGCTATGCAGCACTTCAAAGGGCAGAAGGCTTGGTGAGTGTTGAGTGAATTTAGAAATATCCATTGTTAATTTCCTCCATATTGCAGGTGGAGGCAATATGGCTTTCAAAATATTGAGTTTCTACAACTGATCACAAGGATCTTTGGTCTCCTAAAGACAGGAGCTATCAGTGACTAGGACGCGGTCTAACTGTGCAGGTCCAAACCGGGGAGAGAGTTCAACACTAACTTTAGCCTCTCTGTAGCTACTGTAGGCAGGGGAGAGGACCTCTTTGGCTCTCCTCCTCTACACTGCTCCCCAGAGAACTTCAGAAGACACAACAGAGCATATACTGTCCCAACATTCCTTCCATCTGGTCACTGCTGGCCAGGAACCACACAATGGGATAGTCTTCAGGCTACATTGGGGTGCTGGCACTTGGCACAGCTACTCAAGAACCATAGTAAACAGGCGTCTGTCACACTTACCTGGTCAACTTTGCCCTTCCAAATAGTGTCTATTGATCTGGTCTCATGTTCTAAGCACTTTGCTGCCCTAGACTAGTAAGGTCAGTTCTGGAATGTCATCCACACCAAACCAGACTTAAAAAAAAAAAAAAACAAAACTACTACATAAATGTACTCCAAGCCACTTTCTCAGGTCCCAGCTGCCTCTGCCTCCTATGGCTCCAGGCTGTGCTCTGCAAACAGCTCATGGGCCCTGGCTCCTTTCCCCATACTTTTAGATGAATTGGGATTAGAGTTCCTAGTCCTATACACAAGGGGAGTGAGGCCATTCTCAGAAGACCCTGGGCCATCTGACCTTCAGCAGACATGGCCACTGTATGAGGGTGTGTCCTTGAAGATCTGTGCTAGGTTTGGGTTCTGTGCACAGCTGTTTAGCAGAAGAGGAATGGATGGGTCATCACTTCATAGTAACATTTATGAACTTAAATTCTTATTAGAAAACTATCAGCAACAATGCTGTGTTGGTCCTCAATAGCTCTTGCACTTGGTAAGGATGAAAATGAGCTGACAGCACTTTATAAATAAAGGGTAGCAACCAGCTCTGTAACCATGGTAACAAAGAACCTTTGTAAAAATTTGGATAATTACAACTCTCTGCTCAAATGCTCTCATGTTGGGAATTTTGAATACTAAGCCCTGCACAGATTCTTCGTGGAACGTTCCTCTACGGTTGTTAGAATATTTTAGTAACACCTTAAATTTAGTTTACAGATAACCAAGTTTGATAAAACTTAAAACTGCTAATACTATCATGTTGTCTTTCTCTTTCTATTAAACCATGAGCCCACATTGCTACATGGCATTTCCTCAGAGGACAAAAGACACATACTTTGTTTGTCAAGACTAGTCTCTGGTCCCTACAAACCCTGGAAAGTCACTCAGCAGATGGTGTGAGGCATATAGCCAGACTTGAGCGTGGGCTTTGGCTGGTAGGCTACTGGGAGGAGGTCGTTTTGCTCAAGGGATAGAGATTCCCAGAAGCCCCCACACTGCTTCCTACGTCTTCCCTCCCTCTGTCTCCAACATTCTGAAGTGTTCAATATGTCTGAGGCTCTTTTTGGGAAACAAAAATCAATGTGGTGTCTTGCTGCCAATAAGTGTGCAGACTGCAGTACCCTTCTTATTTACTCCTCTTTAGCTGCTTCTAAGAAGTAACCCTTCCAGGCAAGCAGGGCCCTCAGCAGATGTTCTGAGTATAATATCTTGCACCCACCTCCAGCCCCTTCTGAAGGAAGAGCCTGGAAATAAAACAGTTAAGTCACTGACTAGGCCAAGGCAATCTTCTAAGTTTGTTCTCCTGTTATTAAAAAAGGACACAATATCCCTCAGGGCTCCCAGGTTCCCAGTTTCAGAAGTCTGAGCATCAGCATGTAGAACATTTCAGGGAATGAGGATAAGCAGATTAAGCTGCCCCATCACCAAGAGATTGATTTAAAATATTTTGGGCTCTGTTAACATATCTACATGATTTCTTGTAAATGCCTTGAAGAAAATAAAGAATCTTTTCAACAGATTTGCCAAGGCAAAGCTTAACTCAAATGGCAAAGCAATGAATTTTTAAGTTTTTTTTTGCAGATACTGAGAAAGATGCTTCAAACCTCCCGGCCATGGATGCTATTATGGAGATTAGTTACAGAGTGAGCTGAGGCTCTTGCAACAAGACCCAAGTCCTTTCTCTGTGGGGCCCTCAAGAAGCTCAGTTTGCTCTTGTCTCCCAATGAAGTCCAGAACAGACAGTTTCTATACTTGATAGAATGTCCACCTGGAAAATCCAACCTGAATGCTTCAGTCTCTCTCTTTATCATTAAAAAAAAAGTTTATATATATATATATATATATATCCCTAGTTAACTTTAATTGCCAACTTGACACAACTGAGAGTCATCCGAGAGGGAAACCTCAACTGAAGATTTGTTTAGATCAGACTGGGCTATGGGCATGTCTGTGGGAGATTGCCTTGATAGTTCACTCATGTAGGAAGGCCTAGCCCATTGTGGGAGGCATCATTCCCTAGGCAGTGAGCAAGACAGCAAGCAGTATTCCTCCATGGACTCTGCTTCAGGTTTTTGCTTGAGTTTTTGCCTTGACTTTCCTCAACAATGGGTTCTGACCTATAAGCAATAAAGCTTTCCATTCTCTAAGTTGCTTTGGGTCAGAGTGTTTTATTACAATAACGGAATTACATTAGAATAGATAACATGCTCTTTCCTTTGTAATAAAAATACAAGTGACTAATTAAAACAGCAATAATGAATACAGTCACCGTTAGCATAACAGGTTTTTTAAAATTATAAGACCCTCAATTGCCCACCAGTTGCCATGTTGTGCTAAATCTGTTCTGACCACAGCCACACTGCATTTCCTACTCCCATACGTTATTCGAGCATGCTGAGTTCTTGAAAGTGAAATATCTTTACAAGGTTATGCTGGATGCCCTGTCTAGGTCCCTGTGACCCCAAAACCTTGCCACTAATCACTGTTTCTCACCCCAGCTTTGATCCAGAGTTGGAAAGTGTCATATATAGGCAAGGATAGGCACATGTGCCTCTTTACCATCTAGAAAATCTGTTCTCAGTATCTGCACAGGCAAATAACCAAATGTCAAAAAAAAGACATCAGGATGGATATGGCCCTCATGCCTCACTGGACAATGACAAGAGGACTGGAGCCATTATAAGTCCCCTTTAATTACTGGGGGTCAGGGCTCTGTCCCTGCCTTTGTAAGATTAGAATCGCTACAGTCCCTCTATACTGAGAGAAGGGAGGAGATGTTGGGAGCAGCCTTGATTATACACTGAAAGCCTAAATCAGCCATAGGCCTAAGTCGGCCATGCATGCCTGCTAACACAAAGTCTTGGTCTCTGTGGGAAAACACTGACCCTAGAACAGATAGCTATAGACCTTGTAAACAGGCAGCCTTGGTGGAAAACTACCAGCCTGGATAAGAACAAGTAGTCATAGACCTTGTGGATAGGTAGCCTTGGTGGAAAGTACCAGGTTAGATAAGAACAAATGAATCATAGACAGTGTCATAGTGACCTGTTCCCTGCTTCTTCACCCAGCCAAAACTCTGTCCTGGAAGATAGCTGTACTACCCCTGAGAACATCTATGATCCTGCGTCATCCCCTTCTTCACATCCAACCTCTATGTGCATATAACTCCTGTGTAAAAAACTTAAAATTACAGCTTGATCAGACTATAGACAAGTCGTCATTCTTTGTGCCCACTGTCCTCCAGTTCTCTCTTCCAGGTCTTATGATCCCAGTTCAATGTCCCGTGGGACTGGGGCAACCAAAGAAATTAAAAAAAAATCTCATGATGTTTTAAGTAAGTTGATGATTTGGGGCTGCTTTCGTGACTATTTCCATGGGCTGTACATGCCTGGTGAAGCTGCTCACAGTCAGGCACTATCAGTGCTCCATTCTGATTGTATCTCAAAGACTTTTTGGTTTTCTCCTGGGGCAGTGAGCACAGGACTTTAGGGTCCTCTCTCTTGACCATTTTATATGGTATGTGAGATGGTGTCTCTTGGAGATTATTGGGCACACATGGTCCTGGACTCAGTGCAGAAACACAGCCATTCCAGATTAATCTGGATGGAGCTGGGGAGAGCTTGGGTTGCTGTTCCCAGGGCCATTTCTGTACAGAGCAAGCTTGGATACTGGTCATCCCAGCATCTATTTCTCCCTCTGGAAGGGTCCAGGAACAAAGTCTCAGAGTTGACTCTTCTAGGTCTCAGGTGCAACTTGGAAACTGGGCTCTCAAGAGTGATCTGAGCTCTGTGTGTCACTGGGGCCCTAAGGAGACTGCCTGGAGACCTTGCCTGTATGAGGAAGTTCCAGCTTGTCCCTAGGACAGAAACAGAGAATGATGGGATCTCCAGCAGAGAGTGCTGGGCATGGGGTGGGCAGAAAGGGGATCAGGGAACTCTAGGATGATAGACAGCTACGAGTTCCTGCACTTGCCGTCCATGAGTGCCCACTTGCTGTTTCTTGGGTTTCTACTACTCTCAAGAAATTCAAATTTAATTTTTAGTTAGAGCTAAAGAGAAAAGAAGGAGAATTTAGAAACTGAACCCAGCCACTGCAGCAGGCACTCACTCTGCTTCTTCACCCTGCAGATCTTACCTTCATATAGCCAGTCACTGAGGCCATTGTAGATCACGCCCTCCTTCCCTGTAGAGACCACTCGGATCGCCTGCTTTCCAACATGTGCACAGTAGTAGATGTTGTTCTCAAAGATAAATATCTAATTTGGAAAGAAGAAAGGATAGCAGAATTAGGCAAGGAGCGGGCCTGAGTGTTCTTAAATGTGAGATTGCCAGGCTTCCATTCTCCCGCTGTGTGTATCTGATTGAATAAAGGTGATCATGGGATCATTGGTGGTTGATTACCCTGCAACATAATCCATACTTAGGGATAGATCAGACACTCAAACTCTGCAGAGTTCGCCCAGTGTTATCATTGTTTGTCAATGTAACACCCGGATTGTTATGACTGGACAATTTCTGATACTTTTGAGTATTGGAAAATGGTACTTGGGATTGGTTTGATATTTTAGCAGTGTGGGTTTTCCTGGTGACTTAGTTGTAGGCCAAGGGGCTGAAGGCCTTCCTTCCTTCCTATCTCAGCTTTCTCAGGAGCTGTGTGTGTAGGGGGACTTGTGCCTGTCATGAGATTGGATGGTAGTAGGAGGGCACCATTGTGTGACCATAGTATTCCTTTTGTTCTAAGGTGTTCAGATCTTGACAAGGATTATCTCAAGGTGGGCACATGGGGAATCTGGGAAGTCAAGGCCTATGTAGTCCAGGCTTCCTCACAAAAGGAGTGAGAAGTGGTTGTATTGGCTACTTAATTCACAGTTCACAGCATCATCAAGCCATGTGGTCATACCATTGTACAGTCTACCTACAGAATGTTCCCAGCTGACACCCTGCCCCAGGAAGCACATCCGCTCATACTTCTCCACAGCTTCTGGTCCTCAGTGCAGCACCATGCTTCAACTGTCTGTAAAGTATTCATTCATGGCTGCTCATATCCAAGGTAGTGTCTGTCCTACTATGGCTGGTTGATGTCACTCAGTACAATGTCCTTAAGGGTCATTTATGTTACAGTATGGGACAAAATGCCTAAAATGAGGTTTTTAGCTGAGACCTAAACACATGGGATCAGGAGGGACTGAGAAGCCAGAGGGCAGGATAGACCAGATGTTGAATGGGCAAGGCTGGTGGAGAATGGGGACAAGATTCTTGTGAGAGAGGATTAATGAAAAGGGACAGGAAGTCAGTTTCTGGGACTCTGCAGGGAGGAGACTGGTAGCCATAGAGAGTTGCTAACTAATGTCTGGGTAGGGGCATCACAGTCAGGAGATGGTCTAGTCCCTGGGCCACTGGATCTGTGTGATGCAGGCCTGCTGAGGGTGGATCTAGCATCTGTGTGGTCCAAGAAGAGGGGCAGGAGGCTGATGGGATGGCGATAGTTATTGAAGATATGACCACACAGAGGGAGCAGATTGAGCAGTGGCTTAGCAAGCAGTAGCCTGCTATGAGTGAGCTAAGCTGGCTGATAGGCAAGGTTCTCTGGCCATTTTCTTGGGCTTCAGAGGGATGGCAACATACTAGTAGAGTTGCGTTGTGGCACCACTTTTTTTCTAGGGAAGCGAATAGAGTTGTTTCATGATATGTTTCTCAGAATTCAACACATAACAGATGACACTGGGAGCTTAAAAAATTCCTAGTGTTCAGACCATGAATTCAGCTAGAGTCTCTGGAGTGGGGTCCAGGCACTAGCATTTTGAAGTATATCCTGGTGACTTTCATGTACAGTCAAAGTTAAGATCCAGTGGCCCAGGGACTAGCCCATCTCCTGAGCTGTCACACTGAGGGAGCCTATGTGCAGAGCCCTGATCAATTCTGCCCATGTTTCTAACACCTAGGTCTGTGATACTTCATAGTACACAGATACACCAGCCAGAGAAAGGGATCAGGAAGTAAAGCCAGGTTTTTTTATTTAAACAAATTCTAAAAAAACTATTGAGAGAAGGCATTTTACTTAATATAGAAAAGTGAAACCACTGACTGTAGAGCGCTTCCCATGTTTAGAGTACAGGGGATTAAAGACAGGCTCTTGCCTGAGCTCTGCCCCCACTTCTTTTTATTTTTTATTTCAAGGGATTCACTGAACTCTCCAGGTTGGCCTTGAACTTGAGTTCTCAGCTTGCTGAGTGTCTGGAATGACAGGGCTTCACGTCCAGGCCCATGAATGTTTCATATTGAAATTTTGCATGGTGTCTCTGGAAGCCTCTTCAGCTATTGGTTTTCAGCATAGGCTTCCCGCCTCCTAACATGTTCACTTGAACCTGAGAAGAGCTGGAAAACTTCCAGAAGCAAGGACACATCCTAATTTAATTTAAGCACCTGTTCTTACAGGCTTGCCTAAGATGAACCCCTAAATTTGAGCTCTTTTTATGCACCCAGCTGGCAATGGCTTTTTGAATCAAGTCAGGCTGTAGCCAATTAGTATTTTGCATAAATAAAATATGCAGCAGTGGGAATTAAGGTCCTTTCTGCCTTGGCTTTCAGGAGCAAGCTGCAGGGAGGGGTGCTGGGCTAGACCATTCTTCACATTTGTTGCATTCCCATGATGATGTCAGGTAGGGAAGACATTGCCTTTGTGCCTGTGGGTCTGTGGTGCTGCCCACAGGGACAGTGAAATGCTGGGTGTAGCTCCTGGCCCATCAATGCTGGCATACCTGGCTGGCTTTTTATTCTTTACCCATTGGGCACACAGTAGACAGAGGCCTCAGCGCTAATGCTTCCAGGTGGATATAGCTGGCTGTTCCAAGGGTTTCCTAGTCAGAGATCGGGGTGGAGAGGGACACCAAACTTTGTCCAGAGCTATGAGAGTAGACTCTCTGTGGTCTCATATTGCCATTCCTCTCACTTGACAGCCTGCTATTTGAAGGAGACACCACAGCCCAAATTACCTCATAAGGTCTTTAGACAGCCTGTCACAATTTCTCTTCATCGACGCTAACAAGAGCTCCAGTGATAAGGTTAGGAGAGTGGATGAGTACCCAATCCTTTCTCCTGAAAATCATATTGAAATTACTACAGGCATTGAAGTATAGCAGCTGAGCAAACAGCTCTTTGTAAAATGATTTCCTCTTATTCTTCCTCCAGAGACCATGGGATAAAGGTCCTTAGAGCTTTGCTTGGGATTCTAAGCCACTGCTTACCTCTCTTCAGTTATTTTCCACCTCAAGTTCCTTCTGAACAGGCTTATCTCTTGCTGCACAGGTATACCCTCTCACTTCTTCTTGGGGAAGCTGCCCTAGTATGTCATTTACCTTCTTTTTGGCCCTGCTGTGTCTTACTGTACAATGAGGGGTAGGATTTTCTCTTCACTCTGAGTTGGATTTGCTGTGGCTATTATATATATGAGTGTGGTAGTTTGGCTCATACGTTTGAATACTCGGTCACCCAGTCTCTCATAGGTGGAACTACTTGGGAAGGATTGAGAGGTGTGGCCTTGTTGAAATAAGTGTGTCGCTAGAAGAGGGCTCTGAGATTTCAGAAGACTGGAGCCTCACCAGTGTTCTCTCCCTGCCTTCCGCTTTCAGGTCAGGGTGTGAACTCTCAGCTGTTCTTGCCACCACATCTTTGTTATGCCATTACAGACTCTAACCCCCTAAAATTGTAAGCCCAATAAATGCTTTCTTTTATAATGTGCCTTAGTGGTTGATTTTTTACAGCAAAAGAAAAGTAATGAACCCCACTCCTGGCATCAAGTTCTGTCTTAGTTATGGTTTCTACTGCTATGAACAATCAGCATGGCTAAGGTAGGGAGCTTACATTGCCAGATGGTTGGGAGACCATCATCATCACGGAAGGGAGTATGGCAGTAGACAAGTAGACACGGCACTAGAGAAGCACCTGAGAACTTATATTCTAATTTACAATCGGGATTCAGAAAACACATTGTGAATGGCTCCAGTCTTTCATAAAAAAAAACTTCAAAGCCCACACCTAGTAATACACCTCCAACAAGGCCACACTTCTAATCCTTCTCAAATAGTTCCACCAACAGGGGGCTAAGAATGAATCTACAGTAGTTGTTCTCATGCAAATTATCACCATGGGACTGCAAGGTAGGATATGCAGTATGGCAAATTGTGTTTTCTGAGTGAATTTTTAGGGAGAATACCCTATTTACCATCTCACGTCTATGCATGAGTAGACAAGCGTATGATTGTAATTGGATGCATCATGGGAAAGAACCTGTGAGTAGTGAAAAGCTTATGTAATCCATTTGTTAATCAAAACAGAGAACCAGCCAAGCTATAACCCCCACAACAAGATGCTCCTTTTCTAGGACCCTATAAAAGAAAGCCTCAAATAATAATGGAGGTCCTTAAACACTCTCACACTTAGATGACCCACTGCCTCTCTTGGCAAAGTCTCTAAAGCTTTTGTTTGTATCTTATTCTTCATACACTGTCCCACTTGTGTGCGTGCACCTTTCTCAATTTCTTGAAGAAGCACCAGGAACTGGGAAACAACCAGAGACTCCCAGTCAGAAAGGGACTGGGCTCCAGAAAGCTGTCTTTCCTGTGTGTAGCTGTTCGTGGTGGTTTGGATAGGAATGGCTCCCACAGGCTCATAAGTGTAAATACTTAGTCATTAGGGAGTTGGCAGTACTTGACAGGGATTGGCAGATGCGGCCTTGTTAGAGGAAATTTGCCACTGGAGTGAGCTTTGGAGTTTCAAAAACTCAAGCGAGACCCACTGGTTCTCTTTTTGCCTGATGCCTGCCAACCCAGATATAGAATTCTCAGCTACTTCTCTGTCAGGAGCAGCCTGGCTTACACTGAAGGCCTAAAATCAGCCATAGGCCTGAGTCAGCTATACATGCCTGCTAACACAAAGTCTTGGTCTCTGTGGAAAAACACTGACCCTAGAACAGATAGCTATAAGATCTTGTAAACAGGCAGCCTTAGTGGAAAACTACTAGCCTGGATAGTCATAGACCTTGTGGATAGGTAGCCTTGGTGGATAGTACGAGCTTAGATAAGAAACAAGTGAATCATAGACAGAGTCATAGTGACCTGTTCCCTGCTTCTTCACCCAGCTGATACCCTGTTCTCGAAGATATGTACTCCCCGTGAAAACACCTATGCTCCTGCATCATCCCCTTCCCCACATTCTGCTTTTATGTGTATATAACCCCTGTGTCAAAAAATAAAAATTA